ATTCACATCACTCTAACAATTATTATTCCAAACTATTAAAAGCCTGCCACAGTGATGCCTGGAATTTTAAACCACTCCTGTTATTTTTAAATATGGCACGCACACATATATGAGTGGACACTTGAAATGTTACAAAAAGAAATAAATGTTCTAACATGTTCTCCCAGGAACACATCAGGCTGTGGGGCAGGCTGGGCTGAGGGACACCCCCCGCCACACACACACACACACACACACACACACACACAGTGCACGAATTTCGTGCACCGGGCCCCTAGTATTTAGAATTTGTAAAGAACCCCCTATCATCATTTAGAAAAAGACAATATAGTAGGGGAATAACCACTAAGAATATAAATGTATAATTCTTGGAAAGAAAACCCAAAAATCTAATAAATATAGGAAAATATATGCAGATTCAATCATTGGGGAAATGCAAATTAAGGGAACAGTGAGATACTGTCTCACTCATCATATTTACAAACATTTAAAAATCTTAATGCCAAGTATAGGCAAAGTTGTGAGCAACAGGAAGTCTCATGCACTGTAGATGGGAATGTAAATTACCGTTGAGAGCAGCTAGACCAAATGTAGTGAAGCTAAAGATAGACCACCTAGAACTCTATAGATGTGTACAAGAAGACATGAAAAACCAGTTTCATTGATGCATTTAGTGAAATATTGGGAATAATGTAAATACTATCCAGACAAAGCCACAGCAACTGTGATGGCCGAGGGCCATCAGCATGGGAGAGGGAGAAAAGAGGCCCACCCTGCAGTCCCAGGCACCAGCACTTGCAGCTGAGGCTGCGGCCTGGGAGAGGGAGAAAAGCCGCCAGCCCCAAGGTCCCAGGTGCTTGTGGTTGCGGCCCAGGTGAAGCCACCCACCCACGGTCCTGGGCGCCTGCAGCCAGCCTGGGTGAAGCCACCTGCTCACAGTCCCATGTGGCTGCAGCTGGTCTGGGCGAAACCAGCCTGGGTTCTGGGTGCCTTCAGCCAGCCAGAGGGAGGGAAGCCTGGGTCCCAGGTGCCTGCGGCTGGCCAGTGGAGGAAATCCTGAGTCCAGGGTGTGGGGCCGAGGCAGAGGTGGTTAAGAGTGATCAGGCCAGCAAGGGGAGCAGTTAGGGGCAATCAGGCCACTGGGGAGCAGTTATGGATGATCAGGCAGGCAAGCAGAGGTGGTTAGGGATGATCAGGCAGGCAGGCAGAGGGGTTAGGGGCGATCAGGCAGGCAGACAGGCGAGTGGTTAGGAGCCAGTGGTCCCAGATTGCGAGAGGCATGTCCGACAGGTCCCAGATTGGAAAGGGTGCAGGCCAGGCTGAGGGGGACTTCCCCCCCACACACACACACACAAATTTCATGCACTGGGCCTCTAGTCTATAATAATAAAAGCATAAGATGCAAATTAGACCAGACATCCTTCATCCTACTGGACGAAGCCAGGGCTGTGAGGGAAGCCTGGGTCTGGGTTGCCTGCCGGCGGCCAGAGGGAAGCCCGGGTTCCAAGTGCCAGAGGGAAGCCTGGGTCCCGAGTGCCAGAGGGAAGCCCGGGTCCCAGTTGCCAGAAGGAAGCTGGTGCCGGCAGCTGAAGGAAGGAAGGCCTACTCTTGCATGCATTTCGTGCATCGAGCCTCTAATGGAAAATAAAATTGGAGGGTGTCTTTTCTTAGGCTGCCTGAGTGTCCTCACAACATGGCAGCTGGCTTCCCCCAGGGGGAATCATCAGAGTAAGAGAGAGAGAGAGAGAGAGAGCATCAAAGGGAAAGAAGCTGCATTTTTTATAAATTAGTCTCACTTCTGACATATCCTTTTGGTCCACAGACCAACCTCAGTGGAGTGTGGGGTGGGACTACACAAGGTTGTAACTGTCAGGAAGTGGATTATCATTGGGGGCTATCTTGGTGTCTGGCTACCACATTAACCATAGTCCAAATTCAGAGAATTGCATAAAACAAATGTTCATCCTAATGAATAATTTAATGAGTATCAGTGGGTATTTGAAACTTCCTCCTTGTATTCCCTTCTACTCATAATCCTCTACCTCTCCCATGAATAGTCACTGTCTAGGTATTTAGCTGTTTAAAGTGGCAAAGTAAAAATCTAGTTACTGTTACTTCTTCAAAGCTGGAAACAGAAGTCCATCTGCTTCATTTTAGTTCTTCCTAATGTCTTTTTTCAGAGAGGCACATTATTGTCATTTCTTTATTGACTATATATTTGTGGGGGGAAAAACACTTAATGTTAGTGCCACTGATTTATTCTTTCAGGAGCATCTGCATTGGAGGGTTCAAAGAAAACTGATGTAGAGAGACCAAGAACAACACTGATCATCTGTCCACTTTCTGTGTTAAGCAACTGGATTGTAAGTCTTCACAGCCTTTTAAAAATGTGAAATAATTTGTATTTGATTTATAAGATAAAAAGTACATAGCCTGTTAGCGTGTCATACATTGGGAGAAATACGCTTGGTTAGCCTTTTATAGTTCAAATAATTGTTGGGTGAATTGGAGATATTGCTGAATTGAAGCAATTTTCCTCTGAAGATTTATAATAGAAAAGAAAAATCATCAGTTTCTATAATATGATTTGTACTTCTGCTTCTCACATTTCTGTCCCCCAAAGTAGGAAATGTGTATAATTTAACACCATCATATTTATGAACTATTGGAACCTCTTTTAAGAATTCCACTAACAGCTTGTAACATTTAGTGAGCTTCTGTGTGCTTTGTTTTTCCCTAAGTTCTTATAGATTTTCTCATTTAATCTCACAACTATTCTTATTTTCCAGCTGACCAAATAGAATCATAGAGAAATTAAGTAATTTACCTAAAGTCATCAGCTAATAAATGATGGAGCTAAGATATGGTCACCAGCATTCTGACTCTTAGAGCCTATGCTCCTGCCAGAAAATGTGTTTGTTTGTGTTTTCTTCCAGATTGCTTTGCTGTTCTAAAACATTGCATTGGAATGGAACCTTTTTATGTGTTATGTGTAAGGAGCAGCTTGGTTATGTTTCCAATTTGAGCTTCATTCTGCATGTTATAATGCAACTAGAGTCCCGGTGCACAGAATTTCATGCGGGGGGGCGGGGGGGGGAGGGTCCCTCAGCCCGCCCAACCTGTGCCCTCTCACAGCCTGGGAGCCCTCAGGGGATGTCTGATGCGGGCCTAAGCTGGCAGTCAGACATCCCCCTTGCAGTCCAGGGCCCCTCACTCCTTACCACCCTCCTGCAGTGGAGGCGGGAGAGGCCCCCACCACTGCCACTGCACTTGCTAGCTATGAGCCTGGCTTCTGGCTGAGTGGCACTCCCCCTGTGGGAGCGCACTGACCACCAGGGGGGAAGCTCCTGCATTGAGCATCTGCCCCCTGGTGGTAAGTGTGTATCATAGCGGCCGGTTCAGCTGTTCAGTTGATTTGTATATTAGGGTTTTATTATATAGGACTAGAGGCCCGATGCATGAAATTCGTGCAAGGGGCTTGGTCCCAGCCCCTGCTGGCCCGCCCGCCCACGGCCGGGGACCTCTGCTGCCTCTGCCTTGGCCCCTACCTGCTGTGGCTTTGTCTGGAAGGAAGGACGTCTGGTCTAATTAGCATATTATGCTTTTATTATTATAGATAATGAGTCTATTGGAAGCACTGTAAACATAAAAACTACTGGATGTGAACTTCCATTCTTGTCACTTCTAAGATTATCTGCCTCTCTCCTGGTCTTTCTAATCTGAGAGTGGAAGAGGTCCTACTCTTGGTGAGACCAATACCTTAGTCTACACATTGGATTCCGTCTCTTCCAGCCTTTGCATTTTATTTGTTATTTTCTCCCTTGCCTGGTCATTCAGCCAGTCCTCATTGACTCTTTCATGAAACATAGATCTTTTTCATTTTTAAATACTTTCTCTGGATTGTCTCACACTTAAGTTGCTACTCTGCTATACTTCACTGTCATACCTCATGGGATTTTCACTTTGTGCTTTTACTTACTAACTTAATTGTAATCTGGTTTCTATGCATTGGAAAAACATTAATAGTTATTGTCTAATTATAAAATTCCATGGCTTTTTAAATTTCTTCTTGACTTTATGTAGCCTTGCTTTCTTTGACTTATCTTTCTTTAAAAATATATATTTTTATTGATTTTAGAGAGGAAGGGAGAGAGGAAGAAAGAGAGAGAAACATCAATGTGAGGAACATTGATCATTTGCCTCCCACACACACCCCAACTGAGGATTCACAAACCCTGACTGGGGATTGAACCTACAACTTGGGCATGTCTCCTGACTGGGAATCGAACCAGTGACTTTCTGTTTTTTAAAATATATTTTATAGATTTTTTTACAGAGAGGAAGGGAGAGGGATAGAGAGCTAGAAACATCGATGAGAGAGAAATATCGATCAGCTGCCTCCTGCACACCCCCTACTGGGGATGTGCCTGCAACCAAGGTACATGCCCTTGACCAGAATCGAACCCTGGACCCCTGAGTCTGCAGGCCAACGCTCTATCCACTGAGCCAAACCGGTTAAGGCAAACTAGCGACCTTTTGATGCATGGGTCAACACTCAACCAACTGATCCACACCAGTTAGGGCAACGTATATTTTTATTATAAGTTTGTGTGTTGTTGTTTTTTTTAAATTAGACCTTCTTCTGTTTAGTGTGGCATTTTTCCTCTTAGCACCACAATGAATTTTGCTTCTCTGTTGCTCTTTTTTAATTCCAACAAAATTATGCTTTTTCTTTTGATATGTTGTCCATCATGGGAAGGACAGTACTTGGGTATTTTTTTTTTTAATTTTATTATTTATTA